CCACCTTTCTCTCTCTCTCTCTCTGAGGAGAACAATATATCCATGCAACTCTCTTTGCGGAAAAGAACAACACCTGCATCTCTCTCTCACACACACACACAAGAATACAACCAAACATGTAGAGAAAAAAGACCCATAAATCCATGCATCTGTCCCCCCCCCTCCCTCTCTCTCTCTCAAGAACACAACCAAACATACAGAAAAGACCCATATATCCATGCATCTGTCTCTCTCTCTTACCCATATATCCATGCATCTGTCTCTCTCTCCCCCTTCAGATCCATATATTTCTCTCTCTCTCTCTCTAAAATGCATCAAAACATGCAGAAAAGAAGACCACTATGTCCATCCATCTCTCTCTATCTCTCTCTAGGATCCAATCAACTTTACAGCCTTTCACCTCTATATATTGTCCTCTGTCTCCACACACAAAGAGACCCACTCCAATCCACTATTCACGCATCTCCCTCCCTCCCTCCCTCCTTATCTGGTCTGTAGCGTCTCCCTTCTTTGAGCCATGGAGAAGTTTCAAAAGACCCAATTGGCAAGGTTCGTTGCCATTGCATCTCTCTTCCTTGTAACTCCTCTGATACCTCCATGGATGAGGACCACTTATCTCTACTTCCTCCTCAACCTCCTCATCCTCTCTCTCGGCCTCGAATCTGGAGCACTCGCCTCCTTAACCAAACCCAACAACGAAAAGAAGCCCACAATGTTTAACAATATCTCAAGCAATGGCAATGGAGGCAACATAACGGCCACCTTACTGAGAGAAAGCGATAGTGGTGGTGGTGGTGGTGAGAAACTAACCGCTATTGTTAGAGAGAGAAACGCTTTTGTTGGTGGTGGTGACAAGGTAACCACATTTGTTAGAGAGAGAAATGGTGGTGGTGGTGACAAAGTAACCACTGTACTTAGAGAGAGAAACGATGGTGGTGATGAGTTTGGCAAGGTCACCACTATTGTTAAAGAAGACAGTAGTAGTGGTTCTAGTGTGGTGTTAGCTGAAAGCCAAGGTATGGTTTCTAGAGTGAGAAAGGACATGAAATCTCCATCTACATCAAGCCTCTTCTATATTGAAGGAGAGGAGGAGGATGCAGAGGCAAAGGAGGATGAGAGCTCTCAAGAATTGTTCGCCAAGGCCGAGAACTTCATCGGCAACTTCTAC